CTCAGTAGGTTAAGCATCTGCCTTCAGCTCAAGTCATGATCCCAGGGTCCTGGCATCAAGTCCTAGCGTTGGGCTCCCTGCTCAGCAGGGAGCCTGCTTCTCCCTCACCTCCCTGCTCATGCTCTCTCTTGCTATCTCTGTCTCTCTCAAATAAATAAATAAAATCTTAAAAAAAAAAACACAAATGTTTAAGTAGATCACAGAAATGAAGGCACTTGGTAGGAGCACAAGGTGTAGAATATGCACTAACCAAGGTAACAGGCACAGTGGGTAGAAATGAGAACAGCAGTCTGCAGCCAGCCCACCCTACAGACAAGATCAGTCTCGTCCGATCGCAGAAGCTAGGCAGGGTTGGGTGTGGTTACTACTTGGATAGGAAAAATGAGAAAGCAAACAAAACAAAAAAAGAATTGGAGAGGAAATGAGTTATAGATGACAGGTAAAGCCGTATCGACCTAACAGTTTAGTCTCTGAATAATAAAGCTAAAAGAGTGGAACACAAATATTTAGAGATACAATTCAAGAAAACTCTTCAGAAGTAACAGAAGAGTTAAATTTAAATATTGAAGGAGCACCCCTTATATCTGGGGAAAATGACCCAGAATGATTAACAGGGGGGTATATCCTCACAAAGTCATTGGACTTTAAGATCAAGAGACTGTGTGGATGGCCATGCCAAAAAACCACATCACTATTATAAGGGGGGAAATAAAGGGTTTGCCTCAGACTTTGCAAATCTCAATGCCAGAAAGTAATGAATCAATGCGTTCATTTTCCTATCTTCACTCAAGGAAAATGAGAGCCAAGATTTTATATTTAGTCAAGCTGTCTGTCAAATACAAAGACTACTGAAAGAAGTTGTGAGCTATGTAGTTTTCATGAGCCCTGAAGAAACTGCTAAAGGATGAACCTAAACAAACAAAAGATAAAAGTGAGGATTGGAATGAAAGAAAAAGGTTGTACTCTGCTAACAAACGTTGGGAAACGAAAAGGGAGAGAAGGGAGGATATAGAGTGGTTTCCTCATGTGTGATAAAATATTAAAGGACGATATCCTAAACTGACAAATCAAGAAGTGGAAATATAAGCATATTTCACGAAATGAAGGTATTTTTGCAAATTTTAAAATTGTAGCAATAATCTTTGGTAAAGGACTGGTTCAGTAGATTATGGTTCATCCATATTATGGAATACTTTACAACCTCATGAAAGAATGAGGAAGGTCTCTGTGTACTGGTAGGGAGGGGGCTCCAAGAAAAATTAAAAAGCAAGGGTGCAGAACATACAACAGAATATGCTACCATTTATGTAAAAGAAGTAGAAAAATAGTATATAATGATTTCATATATTTGACTGAACTCAGGAAGGACACACAGGAAACTTTAAGAAAAAGATTATCATTTTGGGGGAGGGCTTAGGAAGTAGTTGGATGGATGACTGGGTAGGGTTAGGTTTTTCACTGTTCTTTTCTACCTTTAGCCTTCCCTCCGTCCCTCCTCCTCACTTTCTTTCCCTGCTTCTCTTCTTCCCATCTTGCTTCCTTTTCATTTTTCAGACATGTGAACACATGACATATTCAATAACTAGCCTAATAGAAAAATCAAATGTTCTCTTCCCCCCTCCCCCAAATTCTGGCCCTATATGAAGTCTTAAGGCAAAGCTTTGGGGTAGTTTTAGCTGCTGTCTCTGTAGGGTCTTACGGGATTTTCAGTCTTCCACAATGTAATCAATCTTCTTAAGTAATCTTCCCCAGGCCTTCTAGGTGAAGAAAACACTTTTCCCTGGATGATTTGCTGTTTCATCTGGATAGGTTCTCCCTTTTCTTAGGTTGTCTGTGAAATCAGTACTTGTTAAGGCTGGTTCTGTCGTTAAATGAAGCTCTGTTTCTGATGCTTTGTGTAGGTTATTTATGGGATTAGTCTTGCTGGATGGTGCTAGGCTCCTGTGAGAGAGCCTTTCCCCTTGAGTCAGTGTCTAATATTCATTCTCAACTTAATATGGTCAAACCAGAACTCTGGATAATGCGTACCAATTTCAGGACTCTGTGAAACAGGAAGACATGAATTATGTTTAGTTTTTTGCTTTGTTTTGTTTTGTTTTGTTTCAGTTAAGGAAAATGAGATACCAAGAGGTTGTGACTCGTCAGAAATTACCCAGAAAATGGGAGTGAAGCAGGCGGGTGCAGCTGTGATCTTGTTATAGGGCTTGTTATAGTGATCTTGAATAGGCTCTGGCCTCCAGACTGCCAGATGTCTTAACCATTGACAGTGTGAATCCTGCTATGTTGATAGGAGGACTTAGCACAGTGCACTGAGTTACTGGGGTTTTCCTCTCAAATGAGGCTCATTTATTTTCTGGTCCTTGAGCAGCTGTCCTCCCAAAGAGATTCTCACATTTATCCCTGGGGTGCATGAGTTTGGGTATAGAATTTGAAAGCAGCAATGCCGCTGCTGTCCGTGTGCGCGTGCGTGCACACACGTGCACCCTGTGATATAGTGCACTTGCCAACGATACAACTGTTGCCTTTTGTGTGTGATTTCAGATAAATTGAAGGGAATGCTCAGGAAGTCATGCTCATGACCTTGAACTCTTTAGGTTTCTTTTCCATAACGGATAGAATACATGTATTCTGCAGCATTTTCTAGAATTTTCTAAATGCTTTGGCTCTCACAGATTAATTGTGTCGCATTTCCACTTTGGTTTCTAAGGCTATATTTGTAAAATGGGGGTGATAATCTTGTTATCTTCATATTGTTCTGATTACTGAATGGGATAGCTGACGTGAATGCACTTTTGTAAAACTGTAGGGTGCCTTATGAAAACAGATGGTGGTGCTAGTATCGTATTAATTAGATCTCGTCTGCTCCCCATATATTTGTACCATTCAACTGTGTCCCTTCCAGATTCACTCTTTTCTAAGAATAGCACTAGAAGGATCATATTAGGCATAAATTCTTGTACATTAGCTTCCCCCCCCCCGTGTTTTTTTTCCGCATGCTTTCATCTAAGTAAAAACAATTTTGAATAATTTTACACACAAATTTTTTACAATTAATAATAAATAATACTGTAAAGATTTTAATAAAAACGTACGAGTCATAGTGTGGAGATAGGCTTTATAAGCAAACAGTTCTGTGTTTTAAAATCCGCTTGCATCCTATATATTGGCTGTGTGACCTTGGGCGAGTTACTTAATCTCTTGTAGATTCAGTGTTTTCATGTGTAAAGTGAAGGATAATATTTATCTTTTGCGATTGTTAAGGACTAAATGAGGAACTTTTTGCAAAGCACTTGGGAACATTGTTTTCACAGAACTTAGTCTACCCTCATTTCCTCAAACTTGCTAATTCTAGTTCAAACATTATTACTTGATACTAATAGTTTTACCATTTTGGTTCTAGTCCTTTTCATGTAAGTTACATTGATAAAGATCAGAAATTTGACTCCACAATTGTTCTAGATACTTCCTATTTTAGAGTCACTGGAATGAAAAATGAGTACATTAGGAAAAATGTACATAACCGTGTACATTATTTTATTTCTGGCTTATGTGAGTATATGGGAACCTGAAAACTCATCAGGTATTTCAAAAATAGGATGCATTTATTCAGTATATTTTTCACGGATCTACCTGATGCTGTTATTAGGCTTTGGAATAAAGAGATGGGAAAAAAGGTAGTTCTTGCCTACATTGGAGGTCATCATTTATTACAGGAGACAGGTAAGTAAGCAGTTATAATCCAGTATCAGAAGTAGTTTGATAGAGGTGTGCACAGGGAGCTTTGAGAACCCAGGGCGGGGAGGTACCTCCCATTTCTCCAACATGGGGAGGGTGTGTGCAGGTATCCAAGTTTGCCTCCCAGGAAAGGTGACACCTGAGCTAAATCTGGAGAGAGCTAGAACCTGGAGCATGAAGCCTTTTCTTCCAAACTAAGTAGATGGAGTTCATTTTAAGATGATAAGGAGCCAGTGGATACTTTTATTTAGAGCAACACGAATAGGCTGGGAACTTAGGATAATCACCTAGAAGCATACTTCCAAGCAGTGGCTTCAGCATCAGTTTTATCATCATCTACATTGCAACCGTTTACTTAACTCATGTATACATTATCTCATTTAATACAGCAGATATTCTTGCCATTATTTTATAGATAGGAAGACAAAGTACTAGAGGCCAATAGAGGAGTTACTGACTGGACACACAAGGGAGAATATGTTTGATTACCTGCCATTCTACATGGTGATTTTAAGCTGCTGGAAGTTAAGATGAGAGGTGTAGAGTTGTTGATCCTTAGTCTCCATTTTCATGTGTTTTATATTATGAGCATTTCACTGCATTTAGTTTGATTCTAGAGTTTAAAGATAACGTGTGTTCCCTGGGAGTTGGCTTTTAACCCAAGTCCGTTACTTCATCTGGTACTTAAGGAAATTTTGGTTTGTTCTAAAATTAGAGGAAAAAAAAATGGTTGTGTTAGACTTGCTCCTTTCTAGAGCTTTTCTATCTCACAGGATTTTTGTCCCCATCCTGTAGAACTCTTATAGAATAGAAATTACTTAATTCTCCAGCCCATCTCCTTTTCCTCTAAGTAAAATTATCTTAATATTTGAAATGATACCTCATTAGGATTAAACTTGGGACCTGGCTCCTCACTATGAAGGATAGTTTGAAACTAGGTTTTGTCTTTCTGTTCCATAATGTTTATACGGCATATTGAAGCAATAGAATGAGAGGTGATAACGCTTCAGAGTTAAAAAAAAAAAAAAACCTGATTATTAATCCAGCCACACTTTTCATTAGCTTTCTAACTGCTGTCAAAATTGACCATTTACCCCTTCGTTCCTAGTTCTTTAGTTGAAAATACGAATAAAGTATTTCTTCTCTCCTAGAAATGTGGTATAATGATTTATTTTTATTTGTGTATAACTAGAAAGGGGTAATACAAAGATAGTGTATGCACAGTTTTGACTTGCTATGCTCACCTTTTACTCCTTTTATTTCAGCTCAATCTGAAATTGAAGTTTCTGTGTCTGCAAGGAATATCAGAAGGTTACTAAGTTTCCAGCGGTATCTTAGATCTTCACGCTTTTTTCGTGGTACTACTGTTTCAAATTCTCTAAACATTTTAGATGATGATTATAATGGACAAGCCAAGGTGTGTATTGCTTTTTCAAGAAAACATTAATTTTTGATAAGTTTAATGAAGCCTTTTTCCCCCATGTGGTATTGAATTATTAGAACCTTTCTTAGTGGGGCGCCTGGGTGGCTCAGTAGTTAAGTGTCTGCCTGCGGCTCAGGTCATGATCCCAGGGTCCTGGGATCGAGCCCTGCATGGGGCTCCCTGCTCTGCAGGAAGCCTGCTTCTCCCTCCCCCCGCCCCCTGCTTGTGTTCCCTCTCTCTCTGTCAAATAAATAAATAAAATCTTAAAAAAAAAAAAAGAACCTTTCTTTGTATGCAAAAATCAGTTAAGCCCATTTTTCAGGTTTTTCCTTTAGAGCACATGTTCATTTTATAAGTAGGGAAATTGCTGAAGTTAACTAAAATAGTGAAAATGTTTTCATTTATTATAACATTAAGTAACAAGTAGATCAGTAGAACATTAAACTATAAGATCACACAGACTCTTAACTCTGGGAAGAATATTATGGCTGTTCTGGTCTAATTTCTGTATTCTGTAGGTAAGAAATCAGTGGCCTGAAGAGCATCAGAGACTTGTTTGAGGTCACCTCCTGGGTAGAGGTACACCCAGCACAGGATGTTAGGCCTCATGACTTTCAGTCAAATGATTTTTCATAGTCCCTTCCATCACTGAGATATTTTGAGGATTTATACGTTTTCTTTTTTCTTTTTTTTTTTATCTTACTCCTATTTTATTTTTTATCAAGAAAACTGTTTTTTTTCTTATGTTCAATTATCCAGCATATAGTACATCATCAGTTTTTGATGTAGTGTTCAACAGTTCATTAGTTGCTTACAACCCCCAGTGCTCATCTCCACACGTGCCGTCCTTAATACCCATCGCCCGGTTACACTATCCCCCTCCCCCCTCCCTTCTGTAACCCAGTTTGGTTCCCAGTTTGGTTCCCAGAGTCCAGAGTCTCTCATGGTTTGTTTCCCTCTCTGATTTCTTCCCATTCAGTTTTCCCTCCCTTCCCCTGTGGTCCTCCGTGCTATTCCTTACGTTTTCTAATTAAACCCAGTGATTGTGAGCATTATTTTCTATTTATATAGTTTAAAGAAATGTCTTAATGAAGGTGGAGCACAGATGAGCTTGTTTTTGAGCAAATGAGGGTTTTTAATAATCTTATGTTTCTCGTATTTTTAAAATTATTTTTTGACTTAGTATTTACAGGCCAGATTTTTTAAGTGTGTGTACATAGGGCGAAGCACCTTCTTTACGATTACATTAAAAAAAACATTGCTTCCCGGTTTGATGAAAGAACAACTTAAGAGAAGGTGTTCATGCTTTCTTTAAGTTTTGAAAAGTTTACATGTTATGCTTTTAAAAGTGAGAATATTGATCTGTGTATGATTAGTTGTGAGTACTATCATAAATAATCTCTACTAGTAATAGTATTATTTATGTCAATTTATTGATAAATGTATACAACAGTGAACTTTCCACAAAAGTTTCAGGTTACAAATATATGGTTTAAAAATACAATCAATTTCATTTTGGGGTTGTGGGATTTATTTGTTCAACTGAAATACACATCAACTTAAAAATAAATGTAATAAATGCTATTACTTAGTATATAAGGATAACTTAAAGAATATAAATAAATGCCTGCGAGTTGGGAGTGTTTTTTAAGAAAATGAATAACAAATAATTTAAGCACAGTGTAATACAGCCGTCAAGTGCCTCATTTCCAGAGTCAGATCACCTGATTTTAGATCCCAGCTCTGTTACTGTTCAGCTGCTCAAGTTAGTTACGTTTAGCCTGTTTCCCCATCTGTAAATGAGGATTGAAAACAATGCCTACTTCATAGTGTTGATGTGAATAGAAAGAGTGAACTAGCCGTTTTAACAGTATGGAATATAGTAAGTACTCAGCTGTTATAACTTATTTTTACGAGACTTTTAAAATCTAGTTTCTAGACCATGCAGTGTATGAACCACACTTCCATGGTATTAAATTATATTAGAATTCTTGAAAAGTTCTTGGGAGTATAGCAGTGAATTGAAAGAAATATTAACCTTACCTGTACATTCATTAATTGGAAAGCAAAATAATAGTTGGTTTTCCAAATGGAGCTTACATTTTGGATACTTTTTTGGAGTCAGCTGGAAAGGTCACGATTAAAAAGAGAATGATACTTAGCATTTCTTAGATCGCTTTTCATTTTCACTAACTTCTCTATGGGCTATCTACAAAAGACAGACTGTTACTGAAATGAAATTACAGTAGGAATGTTTGGTTTTCATTTCAGTGTATGCTGGAAAAAGTTGGAAATTGGAATTTTGATATCTTTCTATTTGATAGACTAACAAATGGTAAGTGAAGAATTTGACTTACTCAAATTACTGCATACTCTAGATTCTGCCTTGATGGCACAGCCCCTGGTGGGTTGTTGCTTTCATTTCTTTAGGTTGTGAGCCCTCTGCTAGCAGAACACCATTTTGTCCCTTCTTTAGTGACTGATCTATAAGCCCAAAGAATCACTCTCATAATTTTATTTTTTCATTACTCTTAGCAGTAATCAAAAGTTATAATCCTCACCCTAGCTAATGCTGCTATTATGGGTAACCCAAAATGAAAATCTTACCTCGTTATGTTCTTTATTTTTCTGTTTTGGTTTCTTTTGGATTGTGGCTATTTACAATGACATCTTCTGATTCCAGCTTTGATAGCTACAGATATGTGGTAGATTAATGACATTTTGAGAGATATCCTTTCTTCCAGCTTTGTGGTTCTCAGGCTTTTCTTTCTCTGAACACTTGAGAGAGAGGACATATTCTAATCAGTGGTTCCCTCTGACACTGCTTCTCCATGGTTGGATGGGGATGAGCTTGTAGCTTCTTTAGGAGTCTTATCAGAATCTATAGAATATGAGTGGTTTGAAACACCAGGTGATTCTAATCAGTTACCCCCTCCTGTGTTTTTTGTTTTGTTTTAGGGGTAGGGGGTCATGTTTCCTTATTCTCTTTGGGAACAGGAAAAGGATTCCCTCTGGGAATCATTTTTATTTAGGATAAAATTTTTGGCGTAGAAGTAGTACATGTAGTTCAACTAGACTTTTTCCTTGTCTAAATCTCTCTTTAATAAGTGAAGCAGAGTGGGCAGTACGTGGAGAGGAAGTCACTTCAGAGTGTTTAGAATGAAGTAACAGCTAGGTGGTTCACTACTATATACTTTGAAATCACCATCTTTTTCTTATTTTACTTTGGAATGAAGCTCATTTCATAAGGAAGCCAAACATGGAAAAGGACAAGCAGATACAACTTTATTCATCTTGAGAATCAATTAGGATCTGGCTTTTTAGAATTACTGTATGATTCCCCATAATCTGTGTGGCCGATGTCAGGTGAAAATAGCTTTGTAATCACCTTCTATTTGTCTGTATGCCATTGACAGAAAATAAATTCCACTGATTCTAGGCAAAATTGTAAAGACAATGAACTCTGTCTTATCAGCTTAACTCTCTCCTGCTTCCCTGCCCTTTTGTTTTTGTTTTTTTCCTTTTCTGTTTCTCTTCCACCTCTCCTTTGCCCTTTGGTGACTGTTCTGTTCCTCTCCCTACCCCCACTTTGGCATGTCCACACAGGAAATTCTCTAGTATCATTTACACAGTTGTCCTTCCCTTTAGCCTTCCCTTTTGAAAAAGAATGTGAAGTATCAGTTGACTCATCTAAGATCTGGGAAATTTCTTTTTTTGTAACTTAATATGAATATTCAGTTGTTACATCAAAATAAATGTAAATAAAACAGTGCCACCCTTAGCACCTTCAAAGTTTAGCCTTATATAAACTGTGATAGCTCATAGCCTATGATTAGTCTCTTGGGACACTTGTCACTCCTCGAAATAAGTGATTGTTCTCTAAACCTTATTTCTAAAAAGTACATATCCTGCTAGTCAGGGATCTTGGCGATGAAAGTAGAGTGAGGTTGACAGTGTGTGGGATGGACAGAATAGCCATTAGCTACATTAGTTAATTTAACACTTTGCTTTCACTTTAATCATCTCATTACTTTTTGTGGAGTTTGCCAGATGGTTTCTTTTTAAGGTTGATTGTTAGGAGTTAGCTACCCACCTATGATTTTTACAGATGGTGATACACATATTCAGTTAAATACAGCCACCGAAAAGTTACAGGAATTCTGTCCATGAAGAGATATTATTGAGAAGCAAATGGGCAGAAGAAAAAATTTTTTTAATTTTCAAAATTTAATTAGAAGTGCTTTCCTTTTTTAAACTGCTTAGCCTGAAATGAATTCTGGATGATACATGTATATGGTATCCAAGTATATAGTTTTACTGTCTTGTTTATTGATCCAGTGCTTTCTGTTATTTCTTACTCTGGGCAATTCACCGGAGGACATTGTGGGAAGAGGCAAAACTCAGTGATTCCCACCAAGACAAATGGCCCCCAGTTGACCACTGCAAGGAAGAAAGCACTTGCCATCTGCTAGAGTACGTTCCTTTTATAGGAATGAGAGGTTATGTGTGAAATAGCAAGATACGGTTTGTCACCCCCTGTCTTGCATGTGAGGGACCCTTGTTGCCATCCTGTGTTATGGCCTTATGCCTTCATAATCTAGATGCCTTTATTTCTTTTTTCTTGTCTGATTGTTGTGGTCCATGCTTCCAGTACAGTGGTGAATAAAAGTGTCAAGAGTGGGCATCCTTGTTTGTTCCTGATCTTAGAGGGAAAGCTTTCAGCTTTTCACCATTCAGTGTGATGTTACTTGTGGGTTTGTCTTATTTGGCCTTTTTTATATTGAGGTATGTTCCTTCTATACTTGGTTTGTTGAGAGTTTTTATCATAAATGGATGTTGAATTTTGTCTAATGGTTTCCCTGCATCTATTGAGATGATAATATGATTTTTATCCTTTATTTTGTTAATGTGATGTATCATGTTGATTCATTTACAGGTGTTGAACCATCCTTACATTCTGAAATAAAACCCACTTGATCGTAGTGTATGATCCTTTTAATATATTGTTGAGTTTGGTTTGGTAATATTTGGTTGAGTATTTTGCATAAATGTTCATCAAGAATATTAGACTGTAGTTTTCTTTCTTTGTAGTGTCTGTCTGGTTTTGGTGTCAGGGTGATGCTGGCCTTGTAGAATGAATACAGAAACATTCCTTTCTCTTTAATTTTTTGAAATAGTTTGAGAAGGATAGGTACTTCCTCTTCTCTAAATGTTTGGTAGAATTCATCTGTGAAACCATCTGGTCCTGGACTCGTTAGTTGGGGGTTTTTTGATTACTGATTCATTTCATTGCCAATAATTGGACTGTTCAGATTTTCTGTTTCTTTGTGATTCAGTCTTAGAAGATTACATGTGTCTTGGAATTTATCCATTTCTTCTAGTTTGTCCAGTTTGTTGGCATATGCTTGTTTTATTAGTCTCGTAAAATCTGTATTGCTGTGGTGTCTATTGATCTTCTCCTCTTTCATTTTTGATAGTATTTACTTGAGTCCTTTCTCTTTTTTTTTTCTTGATGAGCCTGGCTAAAGGTTTATCAACTTTATTTATCATTTCAAAGAATCAGCTCTCAGGTTTATGGATGTTTTCTGTTACTTTTTAAGTCCCATTTCATTTATTTCCACTCTGATCTTCATTATGTCCTTCCTTGTACTTTGTTGGGCTTTGTTTTGGGGGTTTTTTTCCCTCTTTTTCTCGTTCCTTTAAGTGTAAGCTTAGATTGTTTCTTTGATATTTTGTCTTAGTGCTTTTGGTAGGCTTTATCACTATAAACGTCCCATTCAGTACTGCTTTTGCCATGTCTCTCATATTTTGGAACATTGTATTTTCATTTTCATTTGATTCAAGGTCTGTTTGAATTCCTCTTTGATTTTTTTCATTGACCCCTTGGCTGTTTATTAGCATGTTGTTTAGCCTCCACATGTTTGTGTTTTTTCCAGTTTTTTTTTTCCTTGTAATCTAGCTTCATACTCTCGTGGTTGGAAAAGATACTTGATATGATTTCAGTGTTCTTAAATTTATGGAGACTTGTTTTGTGGCCTGACATGTGACCTATCCTGAGGAATACAATGTTCCGTGTTTACCTCAGAAGAGGTGTATTCTGCTTTTTTAGATGGAATGTTATGTATATATATGGTAAGTCCATCTGGTCTTAGGTGTCATTTAAGACCACTGTTTCCTTATTGATTTTCTATCTGGATGACCTCGCTACTGATAATAAGCGGGGGGTATTAAAGTCCCCCCTACCAATACTGTTGTATTGCTGTTAATTTCTCCTTTCATGTCTGTTTATGTTTGCTTTATACATAGGTGCTTCTGTGTTGGGTGCATAGATATTTACTGGGTTTTTTTATTGCTGGATTGATCCCTTCATCATGTAATTCCCTTCTTGTCGCTTGTTACAGTTTTTCTTTTAAAGTCTGTTTTGTCTGATACAAGTATTGCTACCCAAGCTTTTTTTCATTTCTATTTTCATGGAACATTTTTTCCATCCCTTGACTGCCAGTCTGTATATGTCTTTAGGTCTGAAATGAGCCTCTTGTAGGCTATATATAGATGGGTCTTGATTTTTTTATCCATTCAGTCACCCTGTGTTATTTGATTGGAACATTTGGTCCATTCACATTTGAAGTAATTGTTAATAGGTATGTATTTATTGCCATTTGGTTGTATTCTGGTTGTTTTATAGTTCTCAGTTTTTCTTCTGTTGCTGTCTTCCCTTTGACTTGATTACTTTCTTTAGTGTTGTGTTTTTATTCCTTTTTCTTTATATTCTGTGTATCTCTTAGAAGTTTCTGGTTCATGATTACCATGAGGTTCATATATAACACATTATGTATATAGCAGTCTATTTAAGATGACAGTCACTTAAGTTTGAACACATTCTAAAAGGACTACATTTCTACTCCCCCCTGACAACATTTTGTTTTTTGTGTCATATTGTATATATTTCCTAAGTAAATATTGTAGATATAGTTGATTTTACTACTCTTGATTTTTAACCTTAATATAAGCTTTATAAGTGGCAGGTCCACTACCTTTACTATGTTTGATTTTACTAGTAAGACTTTTTTCCTTCATAATTTTCTTCTATTTTTTGACCTTTTCTTTCTGCTCAAAGAAACCCCTTTAACATTTCTTATAAGGCCTGTTTAGTGGTGATGAACTTCTTTAACTTTTGTTTGGCAAACTCTATATCTCTCCCTCAGTTCTGAATGATGGCCTTGCTGGATAGAGTATTCTTGCTTGTAGGTTTCTTCCTTTCAGTACTTTGAATATATCATGCCACTCTTTTCTGGCCTGCAAAGTTTCTGCTGAAAAATCAGTTGGTAGTCTTATGGGGTTTCCTTTGTTCATAACTAGTTGTTATTCTCTTGCTGTTTTTAAGATTCTATCTTCATCTTTAATTTTTGACATTTTAATTATTTGTCTTGGTGTCGACTTCCTTGGGCTCATCTTGTTTGGGACTCTCTTTGCTTCCTGGACCTAGATGTCCGTTTCCTTCCCCAAGTTAGGGAAGTTTTCAGCTATTATTTCTTCAAATAAGTTTTCTGCCCCTTCCCTTTCTGTTTTCTCCTTCTGGGGCTCCTATCATGTGAATATTAGTATGCTTGATGTTGTCCCAGAGGTCCCTGAGACCTTTCTCATTTTTAATTTTTTTTTTGTTATTGCTGTTCAGTTTAGATGGTTTCTACTACCCTGAATTTCACATCACTGATCTGTTCTTTTGCATAATCTAATCTGCTATTGATTCCCTCATTGCATTTTTCATTTTAATGTATTCTTCAGCTCTGATACATTCTTTTTTATATTTTCTATCTCTGTTGAAGTTCTCACTGAGTTCATCCACTTTTCTCTCAAGTTTGGTGAGCATCTTTATGACCATTAGTTTGAACTCTTCATGAGGTAGATTGCTTATTTCCATTTCATTTAGTATTTTTTTAAGGTTTTGTCTTGTTCTTTCATTTGAAACATGTTCCTCTGTCTCTTCCTTTCCCTGCCTCTCTATTTTTGTTTGTATATATTAAGTAGATCAGCTGTGTCTCCTGGTCTTGAACATGTGGCCTTATGTAGCAGGCATCCTGTGGGGCCCAGTAGCACAGTACCCCCTGGTCACTGTAATCAGGAGCTCCAAGGGTTTCCCCTGTGTGGGCTATATGTGCCTTCCTTTGTGGCTGGATCACGACTAGTATGGGGGCTAGGGCTAGCCCCCAGTGTGGCCTGGCTGTGACTGTTGTGGGTGCACTCGTAGACGGGCCTGCAACCGCTGCTAGGGCAGGTGCTACTTTGGTGGGGTGCCAGTCCCGGTTGAGGCTGCCTGCTATGTGCAACAGGATGGGAGTCACTTTGGAGGGGTGTCTGCCAGGGTGGGTAGGTTGGACTGGACAGGTCTGCAGGGAAACACCTGGTCAGGGTGAGCAGTGCTAGCAAGGTAGATAGTGTCAGAACTGGTGCCCGCCAGCATCAGGCCAGCTAGACAGGAGGAGGGCAAGAAAAATGGCACCTTTCAGTGCTTCCGTTCCTGGAGAAAGTTCCTACAGATCCCTGACCCTATTGCACAAGCCCTAAAATTAGTGAATTTCCTTAACTTATCGCCCAAGTACTCTTTAAACTCTTGCCTCTGTGCTGGTCTCAAGCAAGTGAGTTTGTGTGCAGGCCCTTTAAGAGTGGAATCCTGGCTTCCCATAGTCCTCCAGCTCTTCTGGAATTAAGCTTTGCTGATTTTCAAAGCTTCTGGACCTAAGCCCTGCTGATTGTCAAAGCCAGATGTTATGGAGGGTTGTCTTCCTGGTGCAGATCCCCAGGGCAGTGGGTGCCTGATGTGGGGCTTGAACCCTTCACATCTCAGGGAGGATCTCTACACCTATGATATTCCTCCTGCTTGTGGGTCACCAAGCTGGGGGTGTGGGTTCTGACCAAACCACATCTCTCTACCCTCATGATGTGGCTTTTTCTTTATATCTTTAGCTGTGGAAGAGCTATTCTGATAGTCTTCAGGTCATTCTCAGAGACTTGCTCTATAGGTACTTGCAGTTTTGGTGTACTCATTGCAAGAGGTGAGCTCAGGATCCTGCTACTCTGCCATTTTCAGCAATTCCTGCCTATTTCTAAATTGAGGTATAATTGACATATATAACATCTTATTAGCTTTAAGTGTACAATGTAGTGATTTAATATATGTATATATTTAAAACATTACAAAAAGTTTAACATCCATCACTGTACATAATTACAATTTTTTTCTTGTGATGAGAACTTTTAAGGTCTACTCCCTTAGCAACTTCCAGATATGCAATACAGTATCTTTATTTTATTGTTTTAAGTAGGCTTCATACCCAGCTTGGAGGCCAACGCAGAGCTTGAACTCACAACCCTGAGATCAAGACCTGAGTTGAGATCAAGAGTCAGACACTTAATTGACTGAGGCACCCAAGTGCCCCTGCAATACAGTATTATAAATTATAGTCACCATGCTGTATATAACATCCCCCAGACTTATTTTCTAGCTAGAGATTTGTACCTTTTGACCCCCATCACTTATTTTGTCAACATTTCCAACCCTCGCCTCTGACAACCACCAGTTTATTCTCTGTATCCATGAGCTTGGTTTTTTGTTTGTTTAAGATTCCACATATAAGTTAGATCATATGGCATTTGTCTTTCTGACTTATTTCACTTAGCATAATGCTCTTAAAATTCATCAGTGTTGTTGCAAATGGCAAGATTTCCTTCATTTTTATGGCTGAATAATATTACTTTGTATATGTATACCACATCTTCTTTATCTGTTCATCTGTCTACCGACACTTAGGTTGCTTCCATAACGTGGTTATTGTAAATAATGCTGCACTGAACATAGGGGTGTGTATATCTTTTTGAATTAGTGTTTCCTTTTCTTGGGATAAATACCCAGAAGTGGAATTGATAATATGTTAGTTCTCTTTTTAATTCTTCGAGGATCCTCCTACTGTTCTTCAGAGTGGCTGCACCAATTTACCTTCCCCCCAACAGTGCAAGAGGGTTTCCTTTTCTCCACCTCCTCACCAATAGTTGTTACTTCTTGTCTTTTTGATAACTTTTTTGACAGATGTAAGGTGATACCTCATTATGGTTTTGATTTGCCTTCCCTGATGATTAGTGATATTGAGCATCTTTTCATCCAACTCTAGGTCATCTGTAGGTCGTCTCTGGAAAAATGTCTGTTCATATCCTCTGCCTATTTTTCAACTGGATTGTTTGCTTGAACATACGGTTGTGAAATATGAAGGCAAAGTTGGTTGTTATAGCAGTGATAACAGAAAGATAGCTCACTTCTTCACAAATGGTTCCAAACCGCATGGGCTCCTGTTCATATCAATAGAGTGTTATCAGGATTTGAATGCAATTTTAACATTTAGTTTCTTAAAAGATTTAAAAATTTTTTTTTTCATTTAAAGCCTGATATGTCAGGTTTTTTAAAAAGAATATCTTTTTGTCTTCATCTTTTCCAGGGTTTCTCATTCAGATATTTTTCAGTTAATTTATATTTTTCCTCAGCCATGGGCTTCTGTTGACAGTTGTTTAGGCAGTTTTGGGTAAGGAGGTTAGCCCAGTGGTCCTTTTCAATTCTTCATAAATGTTATTACTATAAATATGCAATGTGGGAATATTAAGTGCTTTATAAATTTTTGTAGGAATCATGGATTTCTTTAGAGAACACTAAAATCGTGGTTATGTTATTATTGTCTAAATGCTGACAAATTATAAGCTCATAACTCTTTAAAACTTACATTTTTTTAAATTAATTTTTTAACATACATTTTTTAAGTAACATGTGTCCTATAGAGGAAATCTATGAAACCTTGAGAAATATAATAGAAGGTATAAAAAATGGAGAGTCACATCTTGGAAGAGAAACTAACCATTGTAACAATGGTAGTTTTTCCAAATTTAATTTCTATACTAGTGTTGACTCCGTTGTCAGTGACAAAGGAGTGGAAGTTGAGGATGAGGTAGTCCCCACTGCATGTATCAGCTCTTTTGGAAAATTTAGTTGTGTAGGGGAATAGAGAGGGTGACTCGGGAGGGAGCCAAGAGAGTCAGATATTCTTTGTTGTTTGAGAGAGAAGAAAATCTAGAGCATGTCCCTATATGGGAACGACTGAGGAGGGATATTTTGATTCACTGGGATGGAGGAGGCATGTGGGGTGTTTTGGTAGGATATCCAAACAATTCTGAGAAACTCTGGAGGGGTGGAGGGATTGGCTTTGAAAAGGAAAGGAAACTTGAGGGCTTGTATATTTTCTGTTGAAGTCTGAGCCTGTTGAGAATGAGGGGGTGAATGGGAAAGTATGTCAGAAGTTTGAGAAGAGTAGAAAAGGCTTGAAAATAGGCATTTGAGGAGGTAAATTAACCATTTCACTAGAAAAACATAGTAAGACTTCTATGTAGTGTTGACCATGAACTTAGAATCCTAGAATTCTGCTTAGTTTTGTGACCACTACCCACCCCCCTTGCAGCTACTCAGATTTCTTGCTACAAGTGTGGGGGAGTCAAGTGGTCAAGTTCAAAGTTTTGATCTTGAAGTCATCGATCCCTCCTCCTATCTCTGTATCTTGAAGAATAAACACAACCTCCACCTAACACAGTGCAGCTAAGGCAGTTGACTTTGGACATTCTCGTTCAGTTAAAGCACCATGGTAGAGGGATGGGTAGCTGAAGGTAGTGCAGCCATGTTTTGGGTGCTTTGGGAAGTTGCATTCAACTTAGTGTGGGACAATTTTCAAAGTTTTCTGTTGATTGTAATTACTTTGGTGTCTTTCAAAAAATTGATCTATTTGAAAATGCTTATTTGGTTATAGAAAAACAAAACAAAGCCATTTTTTCCCTTAGAATAGAAAAAAATGTGATATTTAAAGTTCATAGCTGGTAAAATAAAAGGATATAAATCTTAGATAGACAAAAAGTAGGAAGTTGTACTCTCCATGTTTTATATTCAAAACCCATATTTGGAAGCACAGTGCAATTATGTGAGCCTGTATTTCTTACTGATATCTCTTCTTCTTTCATTTTAGGAAATAGTCTAGTAAGTTTAACCTTTCATTTATTTAGTCTTCATGGATTAATTGAGTACTTCCATTTAGATATGATGAAACTTCGTAGATTTTTAGGTAAGTGATTTCAACCCATTTAACAGTAATAAGATTTAAACAAGAACCTGTTTAAATTTTCATCAGTTACATCAGTTAGCTATCGCTCGAAAACAAACTACTCCAAATTTAGTGGCTTGAAATGACACGCCTTTATTTAGCTGCTGAGTCTCTGGGGCTGTTGAATGCTGCTTGTGGTCCGTCTGAGCTCATTTATGTGCCTGCAGTTGAAAGCAGGTGGACTGCTCCGTGGGCTTTGCCTCAGACCTCTGCTGGGACACTGGGCTTTGTGTGGCTCAGCTCTCCATGGTCTCCCATTAAATTAAAAGGAGGCAGAGGAGTTTGGCACCTTAATAAATTCACATTAAAAAACAAAGGGAGGAAATATTTATTTTACAACAAGCTGAGCTTGTTCAAGGAGTGGTGGCCAGTCTCCGGGAGAGAGCTGGTGACCCCAGAGCCCCGGAGCCCGGTGTCGGCACTGCTCTCCTTCACGCCACAACGCCCTGTTGGCCAGAGCACGTCAGATGGGGATGAGCACACCTCTCGGCCAGGAAGCGCTGAAGGTTCAAAGCCATGGCTGGAGAGCAAGGCGAGGAAGTGGGGCACTTCTGCAGTCAGTCTCTTAGTTGACCACAGCTTTGTTACAAAGATGACACCTTTTCTGTCCTTTTTAAAAAGTTTGAAAGCTCAAGCTTTAAAAAATCAGGTACATTGTGCTTAGGTGTTCTCTTTTTCTGATCCCAGAAATCTCTTTACAGTACACTTTAAAGATTATTTTTAATATGTTTAAACATGCCTGGTGATACTTGCTTAGGACTGCTTTGCTAGGAAAAAAGTTCAAGTTTTTCACCAAATAAATATGTTAAAAGAAAAGAAGCATGAGGATTATTTCTTTTTAAAGAAGAAGATAATATTTTCTTTCCTTTTAAATACCAAACAAAGATAAATTTATTACCTAGGCCCTTGAGAAACTTTTCATGTATATTTATAATTTATATGTCTGTAATACTATAGTTATATATTATATAAATTATAAAACACATACAAGAATAGATACTAACAAGAATAATGAAAAAGTTGTTTGAAAGGATGGATTAAAGTAAATAGAGATTTGCAGTGCTCCTTCCTTCTCACCGGTGAGTCATAGTTTACAAACCACTGTGGAATTGGTTCACATTACTTAGTGACCAGTAGATTAGAGTGTTAGCTACTAGGGCCACACGGCCAGCCTGATGGCAGTGGGGATAGCTCAACCCTAATCCTAGTCTACTTTTTCATGAGAGCATAACAGACACTGAGCAGAGAGTAGGATTAGCAGAAGGTCCAGCCCTGCTACTGAAAACCTAATGCCAGATCCGAAACTTACCTCATGGATCATGTTCATATACCCCCAAATGACTGTCTTATTTTACCTTCATATAGATTTTTGTTCACTGATAAATGTCTAGAATCTAAAACAATACTTGGTCCAATAAGTATGTATTGAATGAATTGCAGTGTTTTTTAGTTAAACTGAGAAACTTTTAAAATTACACTTAAAAGAGGGGAGTTTGGCACAATGATAGATGCACATTTTGAAAGAGAAAAATATTTATTGTTTTGACGTGAATACCTTCTGAAAATTTCAAACAAGTCTGCAGTCAAATGGTATTGATTCTTTGGTAAACGTGACTTATGAGGTGATTATCATCTCTGAATCTGAACAGTTAGTTGATAGCCACATGAAAATTTTAAGTGGAAAACTCACAATCATCCTAATTTTTGTACTTGTACATGCTTCTCACCTACAATGAAATATGGGGTCTTTTTTCTTTGCAGTTATGATTCAAGAAGATTACCACAGTCAAAACCCTTACCACAATGCAGTCCATGCTGCAGATGTTACTCAGGCCATGCACTGTTACTTAAAAGAACCTAAGGTAAGGTGCTGGGTGAAAATCCTAAGAAAATTCCTTTGACTTACTTTCAAATACTTTTCCTTAAATTAGTGGTTTGACTCAAAATGATAGGCTTCCTTCACAAGAATGAGATCTGGCTGGATCAAGTTTCCCATCGTGGTTATATTTGTAAGTGCCGCAGCTGGAGAACTGGGTGATTGTTGAAAGTGAGGCTGGAGAAGTCCAGGCAAGGTCCAGATCCTAGGCACCCCCTGCCCCAGTGCTATGTTAAGACACTGGCATTTACACCAAGCTCCTTGTGAGCTCCATGAGGGCTGGACAGCATTAGTCCAGTTCAGTGAATGAATGGGGAGCTACAGAATGGAAACAGGAGACTTTAGAAAACCATCCTGTGGTGTAAAAGTAAATCTGACAAGACCAGGAAAATGGATGCCTGTCAGGAGCTGTTTGATTTCGATGCACCACGAAAGAGCCTGGTGGCCCAAGCTAGGACAAGTAGCCTTGGGGAAGGAGAGAGGTGGTGGGGGGGGGTCCTGTAAGGTCTCTTGGGAGTTAGAATGCCCAGGTTATGGTGTCTGCATGCATGTGGGGGAGGGAAATAGGGAGAAGAGTCGATGAAGACTGCATGGGGCAGCAGAGTAGAAGGTGGAATTCTGTGAGAGAAAGAACGTAGAAAAGGGAGCAAGTTTTGAGGCTAAGGCTGGTAGAAATGAGGAGTACCATTTTGGATATGTGGAATTTAATGTATTTGGGTGATATCCAAATGGAGATGTTGACTAGAGTTGGATCAAAGACTCTGGAGCATAGGAGAGAATCTGTTGGAGATACAGATGCGGGAATCATCAACTGGAGATGGTAACAGAAACCCACGTTTGCCCGTGGACGTTTCCTACCCGAGCGTTCTGAAATTACATTGGCTTACTCTTAGCTCTGCTTCTAAACTCTTCTCCCCTGGGATCTGAATTCTGGCTAGACATTAGAAGGGAAAGCAGCCTGACTAAACCAGTTTGTGCTAGTTGATGCCAACTTTGAGAATATAGCCATGTGATTGCTCATCTTCTGATTTTTCAAGAGATTGTGGAATATGTGAAAATACCCCAATTTTTAAAGTATATACATCATGACTTTTTTTTAAAGATTTATTTATTTTAGTGTGAATGCGCATGCATGGGGGGGAGCGGCAGAGGGGGAGGGAGAGGGAGAGAATATCCCAAGTAGACTCCCCGCTTAGCGTGGAGCCTGACACAGGCGTCTATCCCACAACCCTGAGGTCATGACCTGAGCTGAAATCAAGAGTTGGGCACTTAACCAGTTGAGCCACCCAGGCGCCCCACATCACGACGTTTTTTAAAAAGCAACTTTATTGTGGTGTCACTTATATGCAATAATAAAATGTATACATTTCATGGGTACAGTTTTTTTTTTTTTTTAATTTTAAGATTTATTTATTTGTCAGGGAGAGCGAGGGCACAAGCAGGGGAAGCGGCAGGCAGAGGGAGAAACAGGCTCCCTGCAGAGCAAGGAGCCGGATGCGGGACTCGATCCCAGGACCCTGGGGTTATGACCTGAGCCGAAGGCAGATGCTTAACCAACTGAACCACCCAGGCGTCCCTTTTTTAAAATTTTTTTTAAGATTTTATTTATTTATTTGTCAGAGATCATGGGTACAGTTTTGACAAATGTATACTCCCAAATGCCCCAATTTTTTAATTGAACTTTAGAAAAACTCTGGGCCAAGCCTGAAGCCTCTGTTTGAGAGTTCTTTGGGAGAAATTAATAAATACTCACCATATAGTAAATGGAATGGTAAATGGAATGATGAAGGTTAAGTGTCCTGTTTTGTGAGACACAGGAAGTTAATTAACCTAGTGAACATGTCTGTGAAGGCTTCTCCGCTCCTGTCTTCCACTGGCCACACCCAACCAGAATCCAGGGGCGCAGAAGGTAGGGTTGATGCCAGGCCGTGGGTGCTGCGAGAGGGGCAGAGAACGTGCAGGATGGGGAGGTTGTGGATAAAAATGAAGAACAGTCTTACCCGTGCAGCTCTGGCAATACTAATTTTTTTTTTTATTTTTTTTTTAAAGATTTTATTTATTTATTTGAGAGAGAGAGAGAATGAGAGATAGAAAGCACGAGAGGGAAGAGGGTCAGAGGGAGAAGCAGACTCCCTGCTGAGCAGGAAGCCCGATGTGGGACTCGATCCCGGGACTCCAGGATCATGACCTGAGCCGAAGGCAGTGGCTTAACCAACTGAGCCACCCAGGCACCCTGGCAATACTAATTTTTAAACATTTTTTTGCCTGTGTAGCTCTGATAATTCTTTTAAAAACTTTTCATCGTTAACCTACTCAGTGAACTTAGTCAAAGCTCCATTGAAGGAGACAGATAAAATCACTGAGCCCTCATATGCAAGAATTCCCTTCTTTATTGTAGTTTACATTTTAAAACAGAATCCCTCAAAGTTTTAAAAGTGCATCTTAAAGCCTTAAGATTCTATCTTTCTTACTTCCCAGGCTTTCGTGTGGCATCATGCTTTCAAGTGCTTTCATTCATTAATTAAGTACATTTTCCTGGTGCTAGGAATCCAGTGGTAAACAGGACAGGAAAGGTCCCAGTGGGGGAGGCAGTCGTTAAATAAATGTTGACATATGGGGCGCCTGGGTGGCTCAGTCAGTTAAGCATCTGCTTTATAGCCCAGGTCATGACCCCAGGGTCCTGGGATCAAGGGTCCTGGTCCGCATCAGGCTCTCTGCTCAGAGGGGAGCCTGCTTCTCCCTCTGCCCGCCGCTCTCCTTGCTCATGCTCGCTCTCTCCCTCCCTCTCTGAAAAATAAATATCTTCAGAATGTTTTCATATATTGTTGTAATTACTGCTATGGAGAAAGTGAAAAAGAGCATGTGCTTTAGAGTGACCAGTGGATGGCAAGCATTTACGGCTTTAGGTAGAATGGTCAGAAAACCCCGAAACCTAAAGGGAAAATTTGAGGGGGAGTCAGCCGTAGAAAGATGCAGGCACAGAGGGAATCGTAAATAGAAAGGCTTAGATATAGTATTTAGAGAGAAACCTGCCTTCAGTTGTTATGTATGATTTCTGTGTAAGAGCTAATTCCTGGACTGTAAGTGAAAAATATTGAAAGCCCCCAAAATTGTTAGAAAGTTACGGAAAAGTTGCTTCTCTCTGTACTTGCATCACCTCTAACTGTAGTGTTTACTTTTTATGTTTTCCTAGCTGAACTTACGTAGATAACAATTTTGTTCCAGTTGAGCCTATTAGCACTTAAGAGCAACAATAAAAACAGTGAGGTTTTTTCATCGAACACAGGAAGACTCACCATTACTAGTTTTCTGTTTGAAAAAGGGCCCTGATGATAGCTTTGCAGATACAGGTGAAGTCTGCCTCATAGACGTCAGATGATTTGCAGTTTCTTCTTCACATGGCTTGGTACAGTCCAGCGTTACCAGATACAGTCAAAAGAATGGAAATAACATTTGCCTTTGGTTTTAATTCACTTTTAAAAAAATGTATTGGGGCGCCTGGGTGGCTCAGTCGTTAAGCATCTGCCTTCGGCTCAGGTCATGATCCCAGGGTCCTGGGGTCAAGCCCCACATCAGGCTCCCTGCTCGGCGGGAAGCCTGCTTCTCCCTCTCCCACTCCCGCTGCTTGTGTCCCCTCTCTCTCCGTGTCTCTCTCTCTCAACAAATAAATAAAATCTTTAAAAAAAATATGTATTAAAGTCATTGTCTTTGTTATAAAGCTCATAAAGTTTTCTTTCTGATGAAAAATTTTTTGCAAGCAGAAATGTTACATTTTTATTCAAGAATTTTTTTTAATGTGGATTTGTTTTCTTTATTCTTTTTTTATTTAAAGATTTTATTTATTTGACAGGGAGAGACACAGCGAGAGAGGATTTGTTATCAACTTAGAACTTACTCTCCCTTCACAGGACTTTTAAAAAATTCAGTTGTTCCTTCTCATGTTTCTCTTTTTAATGGTCAACTCTTAAATCTACCTGAGATTGTTTGATGTCCTGTGTAATGATACATTAATTTTTTTATTAAGTCTCATTCTGGATTACTATATTCTCCCAGGATAGTACATGTCTATTCTTCTGCCACTTCCCTTCTGTTTTAGTTACCATAAGAATATGATACCTCTGCATATTGCTTAATAAATTACGTGTTCATAAGATGTCCACAGCCATGCCCACACGTCTCTGTCGGGAAGGTGGTTTTATTTATTTATTTTTGTTTTTATTTTTTAAAGATTTTATTTATTTATTTGAGAGAGAGAGAATGAGAGATAGAGAGCACGAGAGGGAAGAGGGTCAGAGGGAGAAGCAGACTCCTTGCTGAGCAGGGAGCCCGATGCGGGACTCGATCCCAGGACTCCAGGATCATGACCTGAGCCGAAGGCAGTCGCTTAACCAACTGAGCCACCCAGGCGCCCGGGAAGGTTGTTTTAGATGCAGGCTGCCCACAGAGTATGCCTCCTTTGTATCTTGATTAGTAAGCAGTGCTTTAAATATCTTTTTTTTTAAATGCTTTTGCATATCCTAAAGAAGAAATCATTTTCTTCACCATCCTCTCCATTCATTGAGCCTCTCCATATAGCAATTATAGGTAATACAAAATAATGCAGATTTTCTGCCTTCAAACAACTTAGAGTTTTCCAGGGGATTCAAGACCTCAGATGGTGATTTTTTTTTTTTTTTTTTTTTTTTTTCCCCAGTCTGAGATGAGCTTGACATAGGGGATAGGAAAAAGTCCATTCTGGTATAGGAAAAAAAAATGTTAGAATTTTTATCTAAATTTATTTTTTATCTCATAATTTAAAATTTTTCAACTTTCACCTCTGTTTTATCATGTACAATATATATTAATCCAGTATCATAATCAGTAAGTATAACTGTATTGGGGGTATATGATCAAAATATTTTACTGTTAGGTAGGACACAGGATCACACAAGTGTAGAGAGCATTGCCCTAATGTTAACCGAAATAAAAGTATGCTCTGCAGAGTATTATTATGGCAAGGACATTGAGGTGTTGTAGGAAACTGACCAGTCATTTGCTTGCTCAGGGGCTGGAGGCAGAGAACAAGGTAGATCTGGTCAGAGGAGTCAGGTCCTAAAAGATGAGTAGAAGTTGGCCAGAAAATGAGAGGTGCTTGATGAAAAGCAGGTGATATACGCAGGTGATCATTTCTTACCATTGACAATTTCAGTTATTTATTTTATCACTGATAGTTTCAGCCAGGTAATAAACTTCTTGTGATTATTTTATTGTATCAGCTAAGATTAGCAATGAATATTGAGAGTAACATCATAATTTCTAGTTTACAAGATTGCCTTTTCTGAGGTGAATACATTGTGAAAGCTGTTCTGAATGTATCCATCTGTTGGGAGAGGATTTTATTACACATTGGGCATAGACTTCTCCGTGATTACTCAGTAGCTTCCTTAAACGTTAGTAGTACCTCAGAAATAACCTTACATTTTGGATTCCTAAATTGAGGTCCAGTAACCAATTTGTTGACAGATAAGTACCCTCAATCATAGGTCTTCTGTCAGTGGTGGCTACAGTAATAACAATAGACAAACCTGTGTTTGTTTTAAACCCATTTCTCAAAAAGATGGTTTATGTTTTAGCTGTCATCTTAAGTAAGCTTGTTTAAGATGAAACAGTATAAGGACGAGGTCCATGAACTCCACACAGGAAGGGATGCCCGCCCATCATTATGATCCCAGTGTCAGGACAAGGACATCAGCTGGCAGGCATCTGGTGGTCTTCATGAACAGTCTGAAAAACATGAAGGAGGAGGAGACTCGACACTACTATTTGGGGCTAATTCAAAACTACTGTAATGGTACTGAGTTTATTTCAGACATGCCTGTAATTAATTCTTTTGTCACACTTCAGCTTGCCAGTTCTGTAACCCCTTGGGATGTCTTGCTGAGCTTAATTGCGGCTGCCACTCACGATCTGGACCATCCAGGTGTTAATCAACCTTTCCTTATTAAAACTAACCATTACTTGGCAACTCTGTACAAGGTTAGTACAATTTTAGCCTGCAATTTAATATTCTTGCATTCTGGAAAATGTTTTAATGGAGTCAAAGTCGTAAACAGATTCTCAACGAATGTTAGAATTTTAACCAGATTAATATTACCTACAAATAATTCTTTATGTTCAGGAAGAGACTTACCATTAAATAACTCAGATATGCCCTTTTTTGTAGAATACCTCAGTACTGGAAAATCACCACTGGAGATCTGCAGTGGGATTATTGAGAGAATCTGGTTTATTCTCACATATGCCATCAGAAAGCAGGTAGGCTGGATTAAGATACATTTAATTTGTTACGAACTATGGAGATTAAGTTGGCAAAACAATTTTATAAAGTTTTAAGAATTATTCAGGTGTTCCACAGTTTTCAGTTTTTGTTAAATTTAATGGCTAAATGATTTTACAACTTTATATCAAAATTCTAGTAATTTAAACCTACAGTATAGACAGTAGTATTTTTTTAGTGAATTTTTATGGCTCACTTCATAGATTTGAGTATTATAAAATTCACTCCAAATACACAGTGACTCAGTCATAGTTTACTACTTATTTATGTAAATAGTATTACATATTTCCATTTTATGCTCATTTGAATAATTCTAGATGTAAAGAAATTCTAGGTATAAAGAAATTAATCATTCTGTTTAATACACTCATTCAAATAAGCTTCAGGAAGTTTCCAAAACTGATAACAAGTAAAAAGGATGCTTTGTTGTTCAGTAGCATAGTCCTGGAGTCACTTCTGGAGCTAGCTATAGGATAAAATAGTGATGGAAAGAACAGGAAATACTAATTTTTTAAGTAAAGACCATTTAATGTTAAGCAGGCCATTTGAGAGCCCAATAAAAAGCATCAGTGCAAATGAGCCCAATATGATGGTGGTTAACAAAATCTCTTATTGATCCACAAACAAAAGCTTTTACTAATGCCTCACTGACAGAAGATCCACTTAAGAAAACCATGTAAATGGGTGTAAACCATCTAACTCTAGGAAACAAGGTGAGGCATAAAAATATTTTTGGGTACTAAAATTTAAGTCACTATCATAGTTCTTTCCTTTTTCCCTTTCATAATTTAAAACAACTTTATTTTAAAAACTTAAGTATTTTGTGTAATGACCATGAGAAAAAAGCTGGACTTTATTTTTTATTTTTTTAAATCTTTATTCATGGATACCATTTGGAGTTATGACAATACTTCTGGTAAGTAAAATTGTTTCTTGCCGTAGTACAAATATGAAAATTGCTTAAATCATAGTTTTTATATATATAAATTATCTTTTTCTTGATTAAGGCAGATTAAAATGTTTGCTTTATTCCCTTTTTGTCATGTTTTACATTTGATGATTAACCCTGTTGTTAAAACTGAAAATAAGGAACACTGCGTAATAGCATTCTTTCATGTTTCCTTTATTTAGGGTTTGTTTTATTTAATATCCAATATTGTGAGCCTTTTAAGCTGTTGACAGGTCTTTACAGATCTTTATACATAGATAATGTTTGCCATGGCCCATTGAGGGGGAAAAAGGCAGGGATTTTTTTTTAAGTTTATTTCTCTTATTTGACTTGAAACAGTTTTAAGAATGATATAATGTATTTGTATTAACACGTTACCTTTTCCTTTCCAGAAAAGTTGGATATTCATTCAGATAATTTTGATTCTTGAATTTGACCCTGAAAATACAATTTTATCTAAACTTTATCAGGGCGACTGGATGGCTCAGTCGTTAAGCATCTGCCTTCGGCTCGGGTCACAATCCCAGGGTCCTGGGATCTAGCCCCGCATCAGGCTCCCTGCTTCTCAGGAAGCCTGCTTCTCCCAACCCCACGCCTCCTGCTTGTGTTCCCTCTCTCGCTGTCTCTCTCTCTGTCAAATAAATAAATAAAACCTTGAAAATAAATAAATAAACTTTATCAGATTGTTTGGTGGGATTTTATCAATATATAATCAGGCATCTTAGTCAAAATACCTACAAGAATTAGTTGTTGAATGGGCTGTTCTTTCTCCATTTGAACCAACCTTCTGCCTTTCAGATCTCAGACACCAGAGTTGTTTACCCTCAGCACATCCCAGCAAAGAATTTTCTAAAATAACATACCAATCTCATATAGATTTTCTTGAAGGCAAATAATTCCTCCTTGGTTGGCAAAATAAAAGCACTCTTTTCGGAATGTACGCATGTTGGTATTTTCCTACAAGCTCCTTTGGTTTTAGTTTTGATTATTTTAGTAGGTTTTTTAAATGCATTCTGTAAAATTCATTTTTTTGGAATGGGTTAAAAGTTGAATGGCAATTAGTGTTAAGCTTAAGAAAAATAAATCAAGAAGTAACTATTTAATTGAAAGTCTTGTATTTTCTCTTTATATTTCTCTAATTCCAGGCAACAAATGGAGACTCAGATAGGTGCTTTGATACTAGCCACAGACATCAGTCGCCAAAATGAGTATCTGTCATTGTTTAGGTCCCATTTGGACAGAGGTGACTTACGCCTAGAAGATGCCAGGCATAGGCATTTGGTTTTACAGGTAAAATGGGGCTGGGAAAGATTCCCTTTCTAGATAAGTTGCATAACCATTAGAATAAAAACAAAATCTGAGGTAGCTTTCAGAGTGGTCAAATCTTGAGGGAAAGTTGTGGAATCTCCTTCCGTTAGTGAAACACTTTCCAGAAGGTTAATCTCCTCCTTAGGAAAGCACCATTGATGGGCCACCTGGGTGGCTCAGTCGGTTAAGCACCTGCCTTCAGCTCAGGTCATGATCCCAGGGTCCGGGGATCGAGCCCCGCATCAGGTGCCCTGCTCAGTGGGGAGTCTGCTTCTCCCTCTGCCTGCAGGTCCCCCTGCTTGTGCACTCACAGGTATTCTCTCTCTCAAATAAATAAAATCTAAAAAAAAGGAAAGCACCATTACTTTTGTAGTTTACATACTTGAGATTTCTAACAAAAACAATTTTTGCGAGATTAGGGTGCTGACCAACAAACAACATTTGCATCCATTCTTACATCTAAAAATGAGAGAGAATCAGATGATTTCTTTGTAGCTTAATGTTTAGTCCAGTCCTCCTGCTTGGCTCTTGGGTATTAATAACGCGTCATTAGATGAGCAGTCCTTCAGCATTCCTGCAGAAATAATTGATAGCCCTAACAGCATCATGAAATGAATGTAAAAGACAATGAATTTTCTATTGCAGTATTTTCTGTTTCTTTATTAAGATGTTGTTTTTCCCATGGTTAGAGCATGTTGAAGTTGTGCAATTGAAATTTTACTTTTTTCTTAAAAGACTTTAAATATTTTGCTTGCTAGATGGCTTTGAAATGTGCTGATATTTGCAACCCGTGTCGGACCTGGGAATTAAGCAAGCAGTGGAGTGAGAAAGTAACAGAGGAATTCTTCCATCAAGGCAAGTTACAGTTTTGAGTGACAGTCTTTTCAGTTCCGTTTTTAGCATCACGTGGATAAACTAACTCGGACATTTACAGGAGTCCAGCAAGAGATGCTTGGTATTTTTAGTGACAGTTCATAGTAGATGTATATAGAACAAATAATGTACAAATTGAGCATCTGTTTTGGAAATTAGCAGTTCGCTTTTGAAATGATCAAATGTGAATATATGTATGCATTTATAAATAGACGTAGATCTGGTTGGAAATTTTGCTCTGCGAAAAGATTTCCTGACCTTGTTCCATCTTTGTCCCATGTGGAATGTATGGCCGTATGAACGTGCAGGATATTTTTAGTGATTTAAAGCCAGGAACCAAGAATCTTCATTTCATGTACCTTCCTTTTAGAAATCTTAAATTTTAAATTAAAACGCTGACAGAATTACAGTCTTGGGATAACACCTAGTGAAATTTTTCATCTTCTCCATTTAAAATAGGATATCAGCTTGGCAACCTTTTCTCTCTGTGAATAACTTAAAAATTTAAAAAAGAACTAATTTAGAATCCATCCTCTCAGGAGGACTAAGTGTGTCGTGTTTTCCTAAGGAATATACAGGTTAAGACGAAGACTTTGATTATATACTTAAGCAATAGGTGTGTTCCACATGAATAATTGTTTTGTTTTAATTTTAGGAGATATAGAAAAGAAGTATCATTTGGGTGTGAGTCCACTCTGTGATCGTCGGACTGAATCTATTGCCAACATCCAGATTGGTAACTATGCATACCTAGACATAGCTGGTTAGAAAAATGCCGCTGACTTTAATTTTGTCAAGAAGAGATACACATTTGAAACATGTAATATTAAAATTGTGCTCATTTTTAGTTTTTAATTGAAGACATTTTACCAGTTTTTCCCATTTTTGGCTCTTATAATTTGCTGTCATTTGATCTTAGGTCCTAAAATCCATGATTTTTGCAAAGTAGGTAGCAGTAACTTTGTGTGTGTTGTAACCGTGGAAGAATACATGGTTTGCCCGTGTGGAAGCTGCTTCTGCCTGAGTCTGGCATTGCCATTCTGAAGCGAGCAAGCAGGACGACAGCGTGAACACCAGTTTCCGCCACTGCTTCCTTGTGTCTTGTAGCTCCGTTGTTGGCTCATTCTGCAGCCTCCCGCATGCGCCCCTGCTCCCCAGCAGCTGCCCCTCGCGCACCCACAGCAGCTTGGGACTCGGCCCTGTTCCCCAAATACGCGATGCCCCTTCACTCTTTCCGCCTCGCCATCCTTCCCACCTGTCTGCTGGCCTCGTTTTTCTGGAAGAGCCACCCCTTCCAGAAGCCACGTTCCACTCTCTGCAGGCAGAGCCGCCCCGTTCCCAGGCCTCGGGGCACCAGATCCATGTCTCTCCTGGCTCCCAGGCCCCGGCCCCGGCCCTGGAGGCAGGGGGCACTTGCGAACCGTTAGTTATGCTGTGATGGAAAACACGGGGGGATGTGCTGTGACTGCAGCAAGAGCAGAGGAGGGGGCAGTGGGGTTTTGAGTGTAAAGTAGGAGGACAGTGTGCGGAGGGACAGGTCAGAAGGTATTGAGGGACGAGTGTGGTTTTGGTAGCTGGGGTTGAGTAGGGCCTTGGAGCATGAGGGAACGTGAAGAAGTGTGGGCACAAACCTCTGAATTTCTGGGAACTTTATCTTTCTGAAGATAACATGCTTCTGTGGCATAATACTTTGAAAAGAGGCCTGTGCCGTCAGGTGAGAAATTCAGAAATGGAATGCTCACACTGTACCTGCCGAGGATGGTCACGTGGAAGACGGCTGGAAGTGCGGGACTTGAGCGCAGAGGGCGGGAGGCAGGGAAGCCGAAGAGCCGGGCCTGGGAGAGTGCAGGGAGCCAGGGAGCTTCACCGTGGGCGGCGCTTTCTTTGGGGAGGATGAGAAGACAGTTAAGAAGCAGGTCTGTTGTGCCTGGAATCTCAAGTAGAAAAGTCTTGAAAGGCAAAGACCAGGTGAAACGTGGGCAAAGGGGATTGAATCGAAGATAGGAGAGTGGGTAGCGGCGTCTCCGGAGCTTACTTTCACGTTCTTTTGCCCGAGGAAATCCCCTCGGTTAATGAGGGAACTTAAAACGAGGTTTTTTAAAATTGCATTTTTTGAAAGGGAACAGAAGCCGGATCCCTTAAACTCTTCATTTCCATCTATAGATCTTGTCCGTGTTGGACAGTTCTAGGTAAAGTTTTTTACGGGAAGGACCAAGATTTTACGGGAAATGATGGTAAAAGTTGACATCTGCTGACTCCTCACAGCCACCCTAGGACAGAAGTACCGCTAGTAGCCGCTTTTTCAGAGAGTTTGCCCAGTTTATACAGTTAACAGATATTGGTCTTTTTGACATCAAACCCCAGGTAAAAAAAGCCTTGGAAAGGTTAGACTTCTAGGGTAAATCATATGACTACAAATACTGCAATTACTCAGAGCCAGCATAGGGTCAGTAAGTAGAAGTCATGTTTAATTAATGCAGTTTCCTTCTTTGATAGGAGTACTAGTTTTGTTAAACAAGAAAAGGTCATGTCCTGGCTGAGTAAGGCATCTGACACGGTGTCCTGTGGTGTGTGTGGAGGTAAGAGAGGCCGTGGGCTAGAACAGCAGGGGGCTCCCGGGCAGCTGACGAGGAGCACCCCGCCCCCCGAGAGGGCGCTGCGGGGCTCTGTGTCCAGGACCCTGGCCCGTTCGTTTTTACCAGGTACTTAAGAGCTAAAAGAAGGAGATTAACCTAGAGCCAGAAGTCATACTTCTGGATTGTTGGATCTTACAGGCAAGATCCAGAAGCTCTCAACCAGTTGGAATAATGGGTGAATCAAATAAGATGAAACTCATGTAAAACCCTGATAATAAGGTTCTGCATTTGGGTATAAAACTCCACTCACGACTTCCCTCCGGCACCTAGAAAGGACGGGGGCTTTGGGTGATGGTTCAACCCGACACTGTGGTGTGAGGACAGCTCCCAAAAAGCCGCTGCCTTGACTGCGGGGTTGACATTTTCTCTTTTATCTCTTTCTCTTCACCAGAGCACAACTCCTTGAGGGCACATCTTGTCTGTCTATTCACCGCTCTATTCCTGGCCACCCTACAGCAGTGCCTGGCAGTCGGTTCTCAGTTAGTATGTGCGGAGGGAATGGAAGAAGGCCTTATTTCCAGTAGTAACTACTAGTTCAGATACCATAATTTGTACACTTTTCTAATTAAAAGTAGTAGGTGCTAATTGCTTTAATTCCAGATTTTTTTGTTGCCTAAACGTAACCTATGTTGTCCGCGGTCCACATGGTCTTTTGAGAAAAAGTTCTGGAGGTGAAGAAAATTTAAAAAGTGTTCCATAGCAGGGATAGAATTTGCATTTTGTCATGAGTTTTGGCTCCACAAATTCTGACTTAAATAAAGTGGCCAGTTGTAAGCATGACCAGGTGTGAAGATTGCCATCCCTGAGGGGGTAAAGTGGAGCAGGCCGCACCGGTGCCACTTCGGTTCCCGCCTCATCAGCCACAGGCCTGGAAGAGACCCCTCTTCGCCTCCAGCTGTCTCCTTGGAATGGTCTGTCCTGCTTTCCGCAGAGCTGAGAGGGCCACTGAGTGTTTGCTCAATAGGGTGTGGTCGTGCAGCTGAGAGGAATCGTCAGAAAAGATTTGATGTGTTTGTCAGTTCACCTTTACTTCAAGTTCCATTGAGTTACTTAATAGGTTCTTCGGAGAGGTTAGGTAAATTTACACACACACACACACACACACACACGCTGAAAACTTAGGTAATGTTGGATTAGGACTTAACGAGAATAAACACTGGCGAGATGTTTTGAAGATAAAGTTTCAGAATCTATGTTAATGCCCCTTTTCTCTTACTTTCTCAAGGTTTCATGACTTACCTAGCGGAGCCTTTATTCACGGAATGGGCCAGGTTTTCCAATACCAGGCTCTCGCAGACAATGCTCGGACATATGGGGCTGAACAAAGCCAGTTGGAAGGGGCTGCAGAGGGAACAGTCCACCAGTGAGGACACGGATGCTGCGTTCGAGGAGTTGAACTCACAGTTATTACCTCAGGAAAATCGGTTATCGTAGCCCCCAGAAGCAGTGGGACAGACTGCCTCCTGCCGGATTTTAGAAATGTGAAATGGGGTCCCGAGGTGAGAGGACGTCTCTTGGCCTGCCAAGGTTTCCGAAGGAACGAGGCCAGCGTTATTTGTTCCCGAGGCGTCCTCTCTCGGATCACGTGACCCCACTTTTTAAATTCTAAGACCTGAACATACAGCAATATGCATTTGGCTTTCGTGTGAAACCTTGAATATGCAAAGCCCAGCAGGAGCGAACCAGAAAGGAGTAACAGGAAGTTTTGCGGTGTGCCACGAGTCTTTTAAAAGCATTTGTTCCTCGAACCACGAAACTTGAACACTGTATCTTTCAGCAGAGACCTCCTGGAATTTAAGCAGTCTGATGCAACATTGTGTGTCTGTACCTTCCCCCAAGTTCTCTCTGAGAAAATGGAAATGTGAAGTGCCCACCCTCTGCTGCCTCCTGCAAGACTCGATGTTTACAAATCAACTCTGAAATACTGGTTCTAAATTGCCTTGGAGCAGGATTGTGAAGGAACCACTAAGAATTTCAAAGATCAAACTGAAACTGCAGCTCTTTCCCCCTGGTTTGCCTTTTTTCTTCTTTGGATGCCACCAAAGCCTCCCATTTGCTATAGTTTTATTTTGCGCACTGGAAACTGAGCATTTTTCATAGAGTACCGCCGAGCTTTCCCTCCAGTGCTGTTCGGCAATGCAATTTTTTTTAACTATTAGTTTTTAATTTGGGGCGGGAGGGGAAGAACACCAATGTCCTAGCTGTGTTATGATTCTGCAGTGAAGACATTGCATGTTGTTTTCACTACTGTACACTTGACCTGCACATGCAAGAAAAAGGTGGAATGTTTAAAACACCATAATCAGCTCAGGGTATTTGCCAATCTGAAATAAAGTGGGATGGGGAAGTGTGTCCTTCAGAGCAAGGGTACTAAAGTCCCTTTCGCTGCAGTGAGTGAGAGGTATGTTGTGTGTGAATGTGTGGACGTATGTTCGCGTGCATGTTTGTGCATGTGTGACTGTGCATGTGTTATATTTATCCACGTGGGAAAGGGTCTGAAATGTAAGCTTTTATTTATTATTTTAGAATGTGACACAATGCGCAGCCACACTGGGGGAGGGGAAGGTAGGTGAGCTGTAACAGACTGCTCCAGTTGCCTTAAACTATGCACAAAGCTAAGTGACCAAACTTCTTGTTTTGATTTGAAAAAAGTGCATTGTTTTCTTGTCCCTCCCTTTGATGAAACGTTACCCTTTGATGGGCCTTTTGATGTGAACAGATGTTTTCTAGGACAAAATCTAAGGACTAATTTTAAACTTCAAACATTCCACTTTTGTAATTTGTTTTAAATTGTTTTATGTATAGTAAGCACAACTGTAATCTAGTTTTAAGAGAAACCGGTGCTTTCTTTTAGTTCAATTGTATTTCCCTTGTTACTGTAAAAGACTGTTTATCGATTATGTTTACATTGTTGCAACAGCCATTTCCTTGGGAGAAAGCTTGAGTGTAAAGCCATTTGTCAAAGGCTTTGCCATACTCATTTTAATATGTGCCTGTTGCTGTTAACTTTTGATGAATAAAAACCTATCTTTTCACATATTTATCTTTGATATTTACCTTACAACTCAGTCTTTTGGAAATCATAATGCTAAACAATTAGAAGTCAGAGATTTAGCTTCTTGGTTCTAGCATTCACTCATCAGGTATTTACTTAGGCAGAGCTAGGTGCAGGCACAATCCTTTGGGGTTATGTTCCGCTGCCTGCACCTCACGCAGGAGCGAGCGGCCCCGGTTGGGTAGTTGGCTCTGAGTTCTGACTAATACAAGGTAGAAGTCAGCTTTGAGCTCAGGCCTCTTGACTCCACAGCCTGATTGTGCCCACAGTTGGGAATTGCATAAGACATCAGCACCTCTTGCCAGGACTAAAACACTAGTTCTGTTGGCCTTTTTAAAGTAGAGTAGTAAGATATGGCCACTTCATTCGGCTTGATTTGATATCAGTGTAAGACAGGCACCACTGGGACTCTCCTGTGTCTTCCCAACTCCAATTCATTAGAAAGGACATAGTACAAATTTTAAAATCAAACATACTGTCATTTGCGTAGAAGAGTGATGTCCATTAGGAATATCATGTGAGCCATGTAAGTGAATTATCAATTTTCTACTAGCCACATTTTAAAAAGGAAAAAGAAACGGAATTATTTTATTAACATTTATTCCAATAGATCCAAAATATTGTATCAATTCAATATGTAGTCATTATCTTAGAAAAAACAATTGTTGAGATGTTTTATGTTCTTTTTGGGGGTACAGAGTCTTTGAAATCTGGTGTGTATTTTACACTTACAGCACATCTCGGTTCAGACTAGCCACATTGCAAGTGCTCGATATCCACGTGTGGCTAGTGGCTACCATGCTGGACAGCACGGGTACAGAAGTCTGACGGTAGTCGAGTGGACTGTACCTGGGGAAGGTCAATGGCCACTTAGGTGGCACCATCCTGGCAAATCTGATGAATCTAGAGTCTGATGAAATCTTTACAGGCTCTGATAAGATCTTTACAGACCTAGTATGTCAGCACATGGAAAGTGGAACTATCTCATAGGAAACTCACATTAACCAAGCTCACAGTAACTGGTATTTTTTTAAAATGTTAGTATTTTTTTTTAATTTATGATAAAAATATAACTATCAATCATTCTCTCCCTTTAGGCAAATCTTCTTGGGAAGTCAAATTATGATCAGCGGTTACTTGGTGAGCATGGATTCTGAGCAAGGGAAGCAAGTTGCCTCATGCATCCATCTCCCTATGGGGATGAACCTGCTGCTATTCCTGTTTGTGGACCAGGGTACGCTCTTCCCTTGGATGATGCTGGAGATTCTCTGCCAGTAGTTGCTTCTCCACATCAGCTTCCGATTGGCACATGCAGTAGATCTGTCGGTACCTTCAGCTTTGTCTCAGTTGAGCCTGCCTCAGCTCCATCTGCCGGCGTATGATTGCTTCTGCTCTGATCCATTATGTGTTTCTTACTGTTTGATAGTCAAAGGGTTACCTTCTTACTTCCATTCTTGAGAGAGACACCTCTGTGTTGCTCCCATTTCCTGCGTAGACATAATAAACCCACTGAAAAATTATGTTTTGTTACTTACACGTAGAGGTCACAGTCTACAGCCCTGCTCTTAAATATAACCTATATTCCTTGAACATTGATTTTCTAGAAGAAATTTGAGGAAACTGTTGTTCAATAATTTAGAAGATTACATTTAATATAAGTAAATGTTATGGGACAGAATTAAAATTCCCATGAATTTTTAAAATGGGAGACTCCAAAGAATTGTTGAGCATGTAGCAGCCTTTTGGGGCTCTAGGCCCAACACTTCGGTAGTGGGGGGGCATCTCCTCTGCTCTGGGGCTAAAGGTCCATGGAGAGAAAATTTTGGCACAAGCCTTAGCTTAATGGGAAAACAAAAAACCATCTGGTACGTGGTCAGTATTTGTGTTCTGTAAATGTGATGGTTTATAATGATCCTCTGTATAAAAGAAGCAAATATTTTATGTCCTTTGCAGACCTGGGAAATACATTTGTACCTGAGGTACAGGTTAGAGGTGCTAGTAATTCTTTGAAGATTCCTATAATAGTTTCTTTTTCCAAAATGCTCTCCCGGCTCTTTAAGCTTTCAGTTTTCTTAAAGCTCTCAAACTTTCACACCAGAGGTTTACAGTGTTTTTATGTGAACTTTTTTTAACGTATAAATATTAAATCCTCTCCCAATCAGTATCTCCTGCTTGACAAAATATACAGTGATAGCTAATACGCATTCACTAATGTTTTTTAAATGTGCAAGAGTTCATCTGCGCCATTCCTTGCTTGCTAGGATCTGCAGACAACCTGTGTCTTTTGGAAGGCCCCCAAGGGTCCATGGTCTGTAGGTGGAATGACCACTAGTTGGAGGTGAGCTGACAGGGAGCACAGAGCAGGTGTCATCCACCTTCTAGCCTCTCGTGCTTAGCACAGGGCTAGTGTAAATTGGGCCATCAATAAATGTTTCTCGCTGAACAAACTAATTTGGTATTAATGTGTTTCCTCTTTAGCCATCAGTCTAACATTGAAAGTTATATCGGAACTAGTCTGTGCTGAGTCATGTGGTCAGCAACATCTGGGTTCCTGTTGTGTGCAGAGAGCACGGCACTGGATGTAATAAAGGTATTAAAAATTACAAAACCCTGGTCTCTGTTCTCAAAATGTTTGGGTGACAAAATGATGTGTGAAAAGCATTCTATAATATGGCAGTTTCTGTGCAAAATATTGGGGTGTGGTTTAGGAGAATGATTTAGTTTGGTTAATGATGAAAATGACACCGTTTCTAGTAATTCTTGAATTTTTTTTAAGATCCATGACTGGTAAAATCATTTAGCCTTCAAATTTGATTCTCATATACATTCACCACATCTTCACCAACATGTTGATGATGGTCAATCTGACAGGTGTGAGGTGATACTGTGGTTTCAATTTGACTGATGAGTGAGCATCATTTCATGGACCTCTATGTCGTCTTTGGGAAAATATCCAAGTCCTCTGCCCATTTTTTTAATTGGGTTGTTTTTTTGATACAAGTTGTGTAAGTTCTTCATATATTTTGGATATTAACCCCTTATCAGATGTATGATGTGCAAGTATCATCTCCCACTAAGTGGGTTGCCTTTTCATTTTGTTGATGGGTTTTCTTTGCTGTGCAGAACTTTGTAGTTTGATATGAGCCTGCTTGTTATTTTAGCTTTTATTGCCCTTGCCTGAGGAGAGTGGTCCAAAAACCTATTTCTAAGACCAGTGTCAAAGACCTTACTGCCTATCATTTCTTCTAGGAGGCTATGGTTTTAGGTCTCATATTCAAGTCTTTAATCCATTTGAATTTATTTTTGTGTACAGTATAAGATAGTGATCCAGTTTTCCCGATACCATTTATTGAGATATCGTACATCCTTGGCTCCTTTGTCATAGATCAACTGACCATATGATTCTTACTGGATTCATTCCTGGGCTCTTTATTCTGTTCCGTTACTCTATAGGTCTATTTTTATGCCAATATCATATTGTTTTAATTACTAGAGTTTTATAATAGATTTTGAAATCACAGTGCCTCCAGCTTTCTTGTTTCTCAAGATAGCTTTGTCTATTGGAGGGTCTTTTGTGGTTCTGTACAAATCTTAGGATTATTTGTTCTAGTTCTGTAAAAAAACAACAAAAAAAATGCAGTTGATATTTTGTTAGGGATTGCATTGAATCTATAGATTGCTTTGGGTAGTAGTGTTGAGCATTTTAACAATATCAATTCTTCCGTGAGCATGGTATGTGTCATCTTCAGTTTCTTTCATCAGTGTCTTATAGTTTCCACAGTATAGGTGTCACTTCCTTAAATTTATTCCCCGGTATTTTCTTCTTGATGCAATTATAGGTGGGATTATTTTCTCAACTTTTTTCCTAATAGCTCCTTATTAGTGTATTAAACTACAACTGATTTCTATATGTTAATTTTGTATACTGTTTTTTTTTAAAGATTTATTTAGCAGGGAGGGACAGAGGGAGAGGGAGAGAATCTCAAGCAGGCTCCCTGCTGAGTGTGGAGCCCGATGCGGGGCTCAGTCCCACAACCCTGAGATCGTGATCTGAGCCAAAATCAAGAGTTGGATGCTTAACCAACTGAGCCACCCAGGCGCCCCTGTCTACAACTTCTTAACTGAATTCATTTATAGTTATGATAGTGTCTTGTGGAGCCTTTAGGGTTTTTTATGTATAGTACGTCAACTGCAAATAGTGAGTTTTACTACTTTTCCTATTTGGATGCCTTTTCCTTTTCTTTCCTAATTGCTTTAGGTAGACTTCCCAATACTACGTTGAATAAAAGTGGTGAGAGTGGGCATCCCTGTCTTAAATCTTAGGGGGAAAGCTTTCAACCTTTCAACACTGAGGATGAGGTTACCTGTGGGTTTGTCATACGTGTGGCCCTTATTATGTTCAGATATGTTCCTTCTACACCCACTCTGTTTTTATCATAAATGGATATCAAATTTTGTCAAATGTTTTTTTTCTGCATCTGTTGAGATAATCATACAATTTTTATCGTTTTATTAATGTGGTGTATCACATTGATTTGCAGGTATCAAACCATCCTTGCATCCCTGGAATAAATCCCATTTGATCGTGGTGTATGACCCTTTTAACATACTAAATTCTGTTTGCTAATACTTTGTTGAGGATTTTTGCATCTATGTGCATTGGGGATATTGACCTGTCATTTTCTCTTTATGGTTTGTCTTTCAGTATCAGGGCAATGCTGGCCCCTGTAGTCTTTATTATTTCCTTCCTTCTACTAACTTTGGATATGAAGTTAGGTTGTTTATTTGGGACTTTTTTTCTTGAGGTAGGCTGCTTTTGCCATGAACTTCTCTCGTGAACTGATTTTTGCTGCATTCTATGGCTTTTGTAAAGTCGTTTCAGTTTTCATTTGTCTCATAGTGTTTTTTTCTCTTTGATTTCTTCATTGACTTATTAACATGTTTTTTAGTCTTGATGTGTTTTGTGTTTTTACCACTTCTTGTA